TTTACTGAAACACATGCTACTTTATCTCTTGTTTATGATTTTGTTCACTAATCAGTAATTAGGGTTACCTTTAAGTTACTAGGATGTATGTGTCACTCCGTTACTTTTGAACACAGGTGAAGAGAGCACAAAAAGGCCAGGAAATGAGGCAAGGAAAGAGTAGCCTCATTTGGTAATGCTATGACTACCATATGTATAAATGAATGTATAAAGTTGTATATAGAGTTTGAGTTGCCAACTAGGACGCATAAGTAAGTGTGTATATGAATTGTGTTGTGAAAACTTGCTTTTATATATATATATATACTTATATGATGTTGCATCTCACTGAGGGTACCCCAGTGAGAGGGTACATAGGTAGGCCTAGATGCTAACAAAGAAAGTGTATATTGTTATGTAACTTGTTCCACTTGTGTGAATGTGTGTATAATGTGAATTGATTGTGAATTGTGTATATATGTGAGAACTTGACATAAATGGTGAGACAAAGCCCCATTTAGAAAAGTCAAGTATATTTATGATTCCTGACTATATGGTGAGGCGGATCCCCATATGTAAGAGTCTGAGGGTTGAAAGTAGAACAAGTATAATTGTATTTATATGAATATATGTTGTATATGTTGTGACTCATATAAGTCCACAAATGTGTAATGTTACGTTGAGAGGTCGATTTGAACAAATGACGTGATATGTGTGATTATGTGGTCCTTTTGGACTTGATTCAAGGCCCGAAGTGGTCTAATAAGAAAATAAGAATTGAGCACTAAGGGTGTAAGTTTTGAAAGAAAAAATAACTTTTTGCACCCAAGTGTCCAATTTTAGATCAGACTATTAAATCAAGTCCAAACTTGTTCCATTAGCTAGCATATGTCGTAAGCTTCGTGTGGACACTTGAATCACTCCAATCGAATGTCGAATGTGAAAATGGCACGTGGTGAAAGTTCATCTTCTGACTGTCATATGATAGCAGAAATTGCTGTCATATGCACTGCGGTGCATGGTGTACCATGCCATAACACATGACACAAACAGAAACAAAGCACGTTGCTCTGTACCACATGCCATGGCACATTTGTACTTTCACTAGCCCTCTTATTTGATTATATGTTTTAAAAAGTCAAGATCCCACAATTTGAAAACAAATAAAGGGCTATTACTCTAATGTTATTGTGTTAGTATTTGTTGATTGTGTGATTGGGAATGGTAAAGTCTGGATTGATTAGGGACTTTACAATAAACATAACAAACTATATGGTTACCTCAACCCTTCTGTTCTTAAGAAAGGTTACCTGTGGTACACTTCCTTATTCTCACTTCTTTAGCTCGATTCACATGCTACCAACAACAATTTACACAAAATTGACACCCAAAGTTAATTGTCACATTAACTAAAGGTACCAATTACAACAATCAAATATCTAAATACTATCGTTTCCCTTATCTAAGTCCATTCACACATACTACACCCAATTACCACTTATCGCAAGCATTAACACGCTCATTCCTAAATTTCACATATTCTCTCTTTAAATTTGACTAATTTGAATCTATAACTTCAAAGCTTTATTAATTAAGGTCAAACCAGTCATAAAACCTTAATTTAACTCCGAAGAGCCTTTTTATTACTATAGGATAAGAAATCATCCCCTTAAAACTTCCAGATTCAATTTCTCAATAGTTTAAACTAAGAGAAATTAGTGTAAAATTGGAGTTTAAGACAGTACGAGACTTACCCATTAAGTAATAGGTCGAAAACATCATCCTTGCTCCCAAAATAGCTAGCCCTAGTAGAGCCCCTTCTCCTTTCCTCTCCTGCGTGCTCTTTTCCTCTGTTTCTTTCCTTTCTTCATGAGCTAGCCACATCCTTATCTACTAGATTTCTGCACCATGCACCATGACACATCCAACACTAGCCACAATGCATGGAATGGTGAGGAAACTCCTCACTGCTCTCACATACTCCGCTTTGCAACGACATTCTCCTACTCTAATCTATCCATGTAACATCCCAAAGTGTCAAAATAACATTGCATCATCCAAAACCCTAACCCTAATTCACCCCTTAATTAGTAATAATTCTAGAATTAGGAATTCAGGATGTTACATCCAACATCAATTAATTTCTGGGGTTTCAACTCTTTGAAAGGGAATTTTCACACTCTCACTTTTGCTGAGTATTTTGTTACTTGTTTAGTAGGTAATTAATAAATCAATCCCAACACTTGGTTCATTTATTTCACTAGTTAACCTCATAGTTAAAGATTAGTCACTCACTACGAAATGACCTAGGTTGACTCTTTACTACAGTTAGGGTTAATTCTAGTAACTATTTTGATTAGGTAAGTGACTACCCGATCAATGACATGGAGATACTAGCCCACTTTCTAGTCCATTAACTTGGGCCCAATATGGTCCAATACCCCTTATGGTCTAATTCTAAGCCTCTGATAGGGTCCAATAGACCTAATGATCATCTGTACACCATATTTTAAACCATGTTAAATCCAATATAATTTACTAATTTTTCCTTGACCTTAGTTAAATTTTCTAGGATGTTATAAAGGTATCTAAAAGAAGAAAATGATATGCATATTTAACATAGAAATTACCATCAGAAGTAGTTTCCAATAAAACTTATCTTCTCCTCTCTCCTCATAGGATGGTTGTGCATGAGTAAGACAGTCAATGATATATGTATTAAACCAACTCACCAACTTCTCTCTATTCCAATTACCTCCTTGATTTGTATAATCGATCACTTTATCCCCCTTATCCACAACTCCTCAAAGCCCGAAACTAAATTTAACAAGGGGATATTTAGTTCAAACTAGTTTTCACACCAAAAGGAAGTAGATCTATCATTTATAATTTTCTTGCCAACTCGCACTTCGAATTTTTCCCAAACAGTACACATACTTTCAAGTGAGGGAGGGATTAGTACTTTTTCTAACTTTTGGGAGAGCTTTAAATCTGCACTTGTATTTACTTTTCAACACTTTCACCCATATGGCTTCCTTATTAGTCAATAATTTTCATCACTTTCACGGAGATGTCTCTTTTGACGGTTTGTACTAACATCATAATATATGTGTGCTTCATATCTTGCTGAATTCAGATTTTGTTTATATTTATTTGGCATAATGCATAGGGGATGAGAAAGAGTTGAAGGAAGTAGAAGAGAGCATAGGGGATGAGAGCCAAAGATTGATGCCTGATCTGTTCAGTGACGCGGTGGAGATATTGGTAGGAGAGAGAGGGTTTGATGAGGCAAAATGGTGAAAAGAACATATGGTGATGGTGAAGAGAGAATGTGTGAAGATGAAGCAGAATGGGACGAAGTAGCAGAGGCAAAAGGGCTTACAAGGGTGATGGAAGAAATTACACAAGGATCGACAATGAAGGTTTGGGCGAACGGCAAAAACTAGGATGGGGGGAGAGAGAGAGTCACAAATGAGGGGGTCAAATGGAAAGATGTAATGTGGCTTGTTATTTTTTTTTAAGTTAAACAACTAGTCAAATAAATTTTCATTTATTTAAAATTAACAGTAGGCATCTATTGCTCCATTTTTAATAATTTAAGATTTATTTCGCACTATGTTATAATATAAGTTATCCAGTGGTTCTCGAAAAATAGTTCATGATTAAATTTTTACCTTTACCCTCTATTAAAAATGCTGCATTTTATTTTCTCAATTTTTTAATACCCAAGCCTCCTTCCATTTTCGACAGTAATCTAATCCAAAGAGATAAGATGGAGTTTATGCTTCTCCTCCATATCACCCCACAAAAAAAACTTCTACTCTTCTTATCAATTTCGTTCGACAACCTCTTGGGGGAGCAACATAATTTGCATATGATAGGAAGGTAAAGCTGATATAGCAACTTTAATCAAAGTAGCTATGCTGGCAATGTTTAGGAGTTTGCTCTTCCACCTATCAAGCTTCTATTGTGTCTTATCTAGATTTGGTGCAAAGAGAATGTAGAGGCCTGCCTATGAATGAGTAAGATTCCTAAATATTTGCCAATCAGTAAGTCCCACTTTCATTCTCTAGCTCAACTCATAAGCTCTAGAGAAATGCCCATTATTTGAGAAATGCCCATTCTCTAGCACAACTCATAAATATCGACTAATTTTAATGATCTTAATCATTTATATCGATTACTTAATGTAAATTATATTTAAAAATGAGAGAGAATTTTAGTTAGGACTCTCAAAAGCAAGCTATCTACAAAAAAGGCCTATTTGCAAGCCCAATAAGGGCATTTGTGTCATTTTGACAAAAAATTCAATTACAATTAGGGCCTTTAAGCTTGACGGAATTTCATATTTCTTTGGAGGTTTTTTTGTAGATATCTTACTTCTTATGGCCTTAACTAAAATTCTCCATGAAAATAAAGTAATACATTTCCCAACTCCATGACAGTACAAAATGGAGTTGTGTGAATATGCATATATGCACCATATGCCATATGCGATCCCTCATCGTCCGCAAGCCATATCAAATGCTACAGAATTATTTATCTAATTTGTTAAGATCCATCTTTTGAGATCCATGTTTTGTTCCTAAACTATTTTTGTAAGAACATTTAATATCCTAAACGCTTTACCTTAACAATGTTGCCCTTGAAGTAATTTCTTTGTGCACCCCTTGAAATAATTAAATCATAACAATGTTACCCCTAACATTAAATAGACAAACATTAATCATAAACTTTTATTGACTCAAACTTAACATCAAGAAAACATTGTTACAATTTAATTACATCAAAGTAATATTGTTATGATTTGAATCAAACTTATTTTTAAGCAAAATTAACTATCAACATTTGCCCATATAATGTCAAGAGCAACATTATTACAATTTAATTACTTCAAAGGTAACATTGTTATGACAATAAGTTTAGGATCACCATGGAAACTCCTATCAAAATAATTCTATGGTAAAAATAAACTTTAACCCATTTGTTTATGATCAAATTTAATCAAATGAATGGAAGGGTTAAAAGGTAATTTACTATATGAAATATTCATATGCTTAAACAAGAATGTAACTTTGTACAAGCTACATCGGTGGGGACACGATGATTGGTCATTGCAAGGAACATCTCAAGACACCACCCTTACTCCTCCTAGTCTTCGTCTTCATTTTTCTTTTTCTTTTCTTTTTGAGATCCCATTTTGATTTTAATTTCTTCTTTTATATTTCTTCCTTCATACGATGTAACCACGTAGCAACTATGCGTAAACAAAGAAGCTAATCATCAAAATCTCTTCCAATGAATAAAAAGGTTATTCCTCTACACTCACTCATCATCACAACCGATTTGCATTATATAATTAATTAGGTCATGATGATCCATTTTTATAAGATTTTGTTCTTCTAATTATTTCTTTCTCCAGCTCTTCTGCTCCCCCCACTTCTTCTACTTCCTGCACCAACAAAACCAAATAATCCTTAACTCATTTTTCACACGCAATTTCTTTTCTTTTCTTTTTTTTTTTTTACGTTATTCTTCAACATGAGTCCTTCTATTTATGTTAAAATAATTAGTTGAAGATGATGACATTTCAAGTATACTAACAATATGGCTGCTAAAATTAATTTACTTTTTCCTATTTGATCTTTCAAGATTATTATTGCATGCAAAAGTTATTTGTTAAAAATAACAGTGACCGTGTATTATTCTTTTGCCGAATAACTCAAACGTTAAGTGTAACATAGATCGCTTCTAAATTTTGATGTAATTACATAAATCTCATTTATATATATATATAAACCTATGCTGAATTTTACAAGAATTTTAAAGAGTTTTTTTTTATTTATAAAACTTACCCCAAAAAAAACTCATCTTACATAAAGATTAAATAACTCAAAAGTATTAAACTTACTTAAATTACATTAAAAAAATTTCAAAATATCACAAAGCCGCTACAGGAAAAAATTGAAAAGAAAAGAAGTTTCCTTGATTTTAAAAACGTTCAAGAAAGATATGTGTAATTTATTTTTTTCATAAAAATGAAAGCGTATACAATATAAAAATAGAATGAATGTTTGTATCATAAAATCTGAGAGATTGAGTTGAACTAATTTATTTTTTGTTCTTGAGGAGACCTTTCCAGATTTTATAACCAGAAGATAAGTATATGTACTTTTTAACAAAAATAAATAATCCATTTCCTAATGTTCGTTGGTAGGAGGAGCAATGAAATAATTAATTTACAAATAATCATCAATATCATAAATATACTTCTAAATAAAAGTTATAGAAAATTATATTATTCATAAATATAACTCATTCAAAATATAGACAAAAACTTAAAATCAGTTATTTGTCACTATATTGAAAAATACCGGAAAAGAAAAAGAAAAACAAACGGGTTGCTTACCTTTGGTCCCAAAAACAGTCCATATGGAACCCCATTGAATTTGTCTGTATGGTGAAGCTGAGGAAACATACACGATAAAGATTGTGAGATATTTTTCCCGAACAACACAAGACACAATTTTTTTTTCTTTTTCCTATTTTGATAAATAAATAAATAAATATAAATACATATTCATGAAAGGGAATATTATTGCTGGTGTAGAATCGCTTACATGGTGAGCAGAGGCCACCCTTCTGAAGTAGGGCACGTTGGCAATGGGCCCCACAGGGAATCTCTTGTGCACCAAACCGTCGTGGACGAACATGTAGGCCATTCCAAACACCGTAATTCCCAATCCCTTCAAATACACAAATAGCATAGCCATATTGTCATGACTAGAATGATTCAGGGTATTTTCGACATTTCTCATGGGACAAAGCAAATCCCGATTATGCCGTTAAATTAACGTGATTAAAAATAATTAATCAGAGATTTGGAATATGATTGATTTGTATTGTACTTACAGCACCGAAGCACAGACCAGGGATCAGACCCTTGTTGAAGAATCCGTAAGAGAGAAGACCGATCGCTGGCACTGCGTTTATTATTGCGAACACGTCGTTTAGCTCGAACGGCCCTTCTCTTGCTCTATGGTGCGACTGTAATTATTCAAGTTCAAGTTTCTCAGAGGTTAACAATTTTCTGCTTGGTAGCTGAGAATTTGAAAGGGAAAATTCAAACTGAAGGAGAAAGGATTAGAATTATATATCTTGTTGCTTTTGAGTCTACTGATCAGTAATTAAATTGAAAATTCAAGCTTACCTCATGCATATGCCATAAGGAGGCATGCCAGAGAGATTTATGAGCCCATCTTGCCCAGAATTCCATACCCACCTGAAAATCAGATATACACAGTTGAATTTAGGGCTCAGATTTCACGGAAAACGAAGTTAAGTGATGAATTGGAGAAGGAAATGGAACTTACAGCAGCGCCAACGGAGAGAGCGAATGTACCAAACATTTCAGACCAAGGAACTTCTCCACCCTACTCGGATTAAATCCAAATGGAAAACAATTTCAGAAACAACGTGGAAAATTCAGCGAGAGAGATTCAAAGTCTGAAAGAAAGTTACCTCCATTTGCCACCAGAATCTGTAATAAACGGCCATAACAGCCATGGACATAATCCCAAAGCTAGACATCACAGCCGCAACGAGATAAGTGAATCTCTCCGATCTCTTCCTGGCCAATCTCTCTGCCATGCGAACTGATACAGCTTCGGAATCGGAATCGACTCGATTATTAGGCTCTTTCTCTTCGTCGTCGGCTTCGATCTGGATGCTCTGTTTGGGATCCTCCATGAGGACGCAGACAGTGAAGGAGGGTAACCGTGGGCTTCGACGGGTTGTGGTAGTCCGACGAGGGAAACATCTTAAGGAAGTGAAGAGAAGAGGTGGGACCGCCTTGGGGAGGGGGTCTGAGGTATGGAAGAAGTCGATGGGCTTCAAGGTTATGGTGGCGGAGAATCCTGCCGCCATGGATGAGCGCTAGAAGCTTTGAGGTTGAGTGAGATTTGCGTTTGAGTGAAATGTGTGTCGCAGAGAGAGAGAGAGAGAGAGAGAGAGAGAGAGAGACAGATCAATGTGTGTGTCGCAGAGAGTATGTTGCAAGAATGAGAAGAACCCTTATAAAGCAGAAGCCACATAGACCACAACTTCATATCACCGTCTTTTAACTTTTTGAACAGAAGGTCTCAAGTTGCGTGCCTGCGTGGATGAATGTGGACTCGTTTCGGATTAATATCCTGAAAATAAATAAATAAATAAAGGCGTACGTTGGCGTTGCAATCGACAAAAGTGCCATGATCATTAGCTTAAATTACAATCAACCCATTCTGTTTTGTTTCTTGAAAAAATTAAAATTAAAATGGTTACAATTATGATTTAAAAATCAAAATATTATAAATATAAATATAATTACAATATATATTTATGAAACTGTTGTTTATAAAAATTAAAGGGTCAATAAGTAAATTATCTCTAAATTATGGTCAAGTAATATCATAGACTTTAAACTTATTTATTATACAAATTATTTGCTAAACTTTTAAAAATGGTGTAGTTTGATTTTAACGGTGAATAAAAGTTAATTTTGATAGTTAGTTAATTAAAAAATGACATAAAAAAACTTTAAAAAGTACAATAAATGACTCAAAAATTATAAACAAGGACCCAAAACAATTTTTGGTCATTTTTTTATAATTTTGAAATTTTTTCTATCATTTTTTATTTAATAACATTTAAAATTAACTTTTATTAATGGTCAAAACTAAATTACATTCTTTTTAAAAATTAAAAAAATAATTTTCATAATAAATCAGTTCAGTGTCTATTGGTACGCAAATTTAATCCATTATAATTTTTTACGATGAAATGATAATCTAATTCTTAAACTATAGGTATAGAAATATTTGAAATTTTAAACTTTTTTTAATACATTTTCATTTGTAAACATTTAAAATAGTTGCAATTCCCTTGCCCTTGATTTTGACAATTAGTTTATTATAAAATTATATAAAAGACAGCCTTAAAAATTATTTAAAAAAAAAAGACCAAAACTAGAAATGAGCCAAGGAAATGCCAAATTGACTTAAACTATTGACAAGTAAATGGTTTAACTAGAAATTAATTTTATAACATTTATAAAATTTTGCATTATATGTTTAAGTCCACAATGGTTTCTTTTAAGAGAAGCGGGAGTAATATAATTTTCCCCTATCTTTATGCTCAAGTTCATCATTATTTTTTAAAGGATGACAGTTATGACATTTTTATATAAAAAAATTATAAATAAGTCTCACACAGCTGGCTTATTTATAAATAACTCCTATAAAATTTAAATATTACAGTTAACTTCTTTAGGATCTAACTATAGTGTGTAGTTGGGGTATAAAGACAATATTATCTTTATTAATTTGGCTTTCATTTACAACTATAAATTTACAATTTATGAATAAAAATTTATATTCACAAATCAAATTTCTTCTTTAATGTTCGATACGACATGAAATTTTTATAGAGTTAATTATACCTATTTAAAGCTATAATTAATCTAATTGGAATGTAAAAAAAGTAATAGAGCTTATTTGGGATTTATAATTTAGAGTATGGGTTGTTTAAAGTCAGGCTTAATTAACAAAGCTCTTGACAATTAATTTGAATTTCACTTACAAAGCTCTTAACAATTAATTCAAATTTCACTTATAACTACAACTTCACAATTTATAAGTAAAAATTTGTAAATCACTAATCAAATTTTTTGCTTAACATTTGATATGATGTGAAATCTCTATAAAGTTAATTATGCCTACTTAAGATTATGATTGGTCTAATTGAGATGTAAGAAAAGTAATAAAGTTTATTTGAGATTTATATATTTAGTCTACGGGCTGTTTAAGGTTAGACTTAATAAATCTCAACAATAAATTTGGTTTTCACTTACAAGTACAACTTCATAATTTACAAGTAAAAACTCATAATTCATAAATCAAGTTTCTTCTTTAACATTTGATATAACATGGAGTCTCTATGGAGTTAATTATACCTGCTTGAAGCTATAAGTGGACAAATTGGGATATAAAATTCACAATTCACTATATAATTATAGTTTTAAGTTGGTATAATTAACTCCATGGAGATTTCATATTATATCATGTGATCAACAAGAAATTTGACATGCAAATTATAAATTTTTACTTGTAAATTATAAAATTACAGTTATAAATTAAAGCTAAATTAATAAGAGCGTCAATATTGTCTTTGTAACCCAACCTAAAATTACACTCAAGTTCTCAAGGATTTGTTGTAGTTTTTAAATTTTACAGAATTTATTTATAAATAAGTCTGCTGTGTAAGACTTATTTGTAATTTTCTTTGTTTATTCCATTTCTTGCACCTTTTAAAATGAAATATATACTAGGTTAGACTTATGCACTTTGCCTTATATACTTAGTATACTTTATCCAATCAAATTAAGGCATGTAGATTTTAATGTGTTAATAATATTAAAAATAAGAATTTGTTATAGAATAGATAATCTATTAAAAATACACATGGCTTAATTTAATTGAAAATAAATACCTTAAATATATAAATTTTTCTCAAACTAAACTTATATATTTAGCCTTATATAGTTGATATTAGGTTAAGAATATAAGTTTTTCATTGTCACGGCCATAATAGCATGAACAGTAATGTTATTGAATATAAAATGATGTTTTATTACCAGATTTTAAATTTGTTTAAATATTATTTTTAAAACAATAAATAATACTGTCCAATAAATTATAATTGAAAGGGAAAATATTAATAAATTTTTTTATTTTCACATTAGAAGATATTGTAAAAATTTTAACAGCAGAGAGTAAATTAAAAATTTATAAACTATAAATATTCATTATTTACAATTTTTATAATCTATAACTATACGAACGAAATCAAATATTAAGAAAAACTATTGCAATCACCGGTATAAAGTATTCATTCATTATTCTTACCTGATTACAAGTATTTTATAAATGTCTTGAATTTTTAATATTACTTGGATGACTCTTCAATTTTAATTATATGTTATCTATTGAAACAAATAAATATCAATATAATATTAAATATAGAAAATCAAGAAAAATGTTGCAATCTCATGTAACCTAATGAGCCAAACATTTTTTGAATCAAAATCTTAAATAGATTATGAGTAAACTGTTGTGAAAAGTATTTTTTTTAACTTTTTTCTAATTATCAATGTAAAAAGTCTAAAGTAACTATTATTAAAAATCCTTTCTATAATAACGAGCCTATATTAAATAGTTATGAACGAACTAATAAAAGGTAGTTATATATTCACGAATCATATATTGGACAATTAAATGAATTATCTAATGTTTACACTATACATGACGGTTCTTAGAGCTCGTCTATAATATGTGGTACCAGAAATTAGGCTAATTTAGGTGAAGGTTATATTGATGGCTATTGGTAACGCGGTCCAATATGTCCTAATATATTGGATAGTTGTTTGCCACAACGGTACAGTATAAACTTTAATAATAGATGGTTTTGACAATAACCTAATATGTCCTTGAAACATTCTTCCGTTATTGTTTGCCACCAAATTATGAATTTAAAGGCCTGACCCAACTCAATTTAATTAACTTTAAAATAATTATATAAAAAAAATATTTATAAAGTTTTAGTCATTAAATTAAAACTATCACCCATGATGAGTGAATATGATAGAGGAAGTGCTTCCTAAATTTAAGAAAAGTGGCTATCATGAGGCTTGGGCACCAAGTCAGGATCATCTATAAATAGAGAAGCTCTCTCTCAATAGTCATCATCAGCATCAACAAACTATCAGTAGCTTTAGTCTTTATTTTTCGTTGTACGGCCGGCATAGCCCGCCACCCTTTTTCTTTAATTAATGCATATCTACTTTTTTGCATCTCTATTAGTATTCTTCATTTCGCATTCTCACATCTAGGTGAACTATAATAAAAGAGCCTGAGTTTCCCGCGTTTGATTAGAAGTCAAGTTCTTTCATCATTTTGAGACTTTGTGTCTCTGACACACCTTACGATATCACACCTTAATTGTTTGTTTGTTTGTTTTTTTTTACGAACAGTTATGTTGTAACTATACCACCAATAGTAATTGGATTGAGTGAAAAAAGATTTCTCAAACAAATTTCAAAGTTCGAACTTTGTTAATTAGAAAAACACATTGAAAAAGCTATCTCTTATTTGAACACAACAATATTTGGATAGTTTAGATAGCCAGCCATATAAAAATAAATTATAATTATTTTAAAATACTTTCTTCTTTGTTTTCTTTTGAAAGTACCAGGCCACGGATCAACCATATGGAAGTTGATAGAAATTAAGTAACGCTGGAGAGTAAAATAATTCCTACACCTTGTAAGTGGATCTGTGAAATTCTAATATCAATAAATTACTATGGCGTGCAAGGTCATTAAGTTTGTTAGGGTACTGTCAGGCTCCTTTAAAAATGTAGTTCAAAAGTGATAATTCAATTATGTACGAGAGAGTCAACTCGCAGTAAACAACTATCATACTTTTAGGGAAATCATTTAATGGCCAGTTTAATTTGTTCAAGTTTTTTTCATGAAAAAATAATTTATTTTTAAAAAATATATTTTGAGAAATTTTATATTATTTTTTAAAACATTAAAAAGAAATCAAATTTTGAAAAAATATATTTAATTATTTTGAGAAGCTATTTTAGATAGCTTCTAAAAATGGGAGATGGGAGATGGAATGTTATAAAAATAAGAGATACGAGAAAAGTATCATAAAATTTTAAAATAATTGAATATCAAATTATTTTTATATAACAAAGATACATGAAGATATTATAAAATTTAAAACAATTAACTAATAATCCATATTTATTGGCTAAAACTCAATTTCTATAACTAAACATATATAAAATAATACTCCCTCCATTAAAAAATGTAAAACATTTTTTGAGAAGTTAGATATTAAAAAATGTAAAGTATTTTTAGTTTTTCGAGGTGTAATCATTATTTTTTTTTCAAAAGTGCCCCTATTGATAATGACTTTATATTTATTATAGGGTATTTAATAAGGGTAA